GTTCTCAGGCAGGTCCACCCAGATACTGGAATCTCCAGCAAAACTATGTCCATCATGAACAGCTTCGTGAACAACATTTTTGAGAGAATCGTCTCCAAAGCTTCTCACCTGACCCACTACAGTAAGCAATCAACTATCACGAGCAGGGAGATCCCAGACTGCAGTACGTTTGCTTTTACCTGGAGAGTTGGCTAAACACACCATCTTCAAAGCGACCAAGCCTGTGACCAAGTACACCAGTTCCAAGTAATATGTTCTTCTTCTTTTTTCATCTTGATCTTCCCCTCTTTTTGTCTTTGTCTCAACTCATCATGGCTCCCCTGACTGCTTATTCAGACACTTTCAAATATATCATGTCAACATAACATCTTCTATCAAGCTGAATCAACAGGAATTCATGTATAGCCCACACCACCATCATGAGTGGGGCAAAAAGAAGCAGAAGCTTCTGAGTGTCCCTGGTAATCTCCAGAGGTTTCACCTCGGTGGATTTTTTTATACCAAAATTCCTGCCATGATTTTGAATCTTACAGAAGATGGAAAACTTAAGACACAGGTTTACAAAGGAACAGAGAAGTCAATCTCAAAAGAGTGGTTCTGCTGACAAAGAGAATCCCAAATGTTCTCTGTTTGAGCATATGACATATTTTTCACATTTCCTAGGTATAGTAAACTGATATTTATATTATGTTTAAAAAGTAACACTACTGAATATACTTAAAATCCAACAAAGTATCTTCTGTATAAATAACTAACAAAAATTATTCATTTCTCAATAAAATTCAAACAAAATTGCACATTAACATGTATCATCCTGTCTGAAGATTAGCTGTGCACAGTTTGGCTTCCCTGGGGAACATGGCTGTACTGTCAAGATAACTACACATGTCCTGAAAGTATTCAGTAAATGCATCTCTGATGTTTGTAACACCTCATGTACTATTAATGTTGCTATTACGTCCCTTAAACTGCAAGCCGATGACATTTCTCAATACTCCTGGAATAATGGTGCAATCACCGTCTTCCTGATCAGTAAAGTCGATGGAACAATATTGCTTTCATTATGTGGTAAACGTTCCTCAGAAATTTTCAGATAGTTGTGAAGGCAGCACATTGCTTTAACAATGTTATGGGCCTTATGAAAATTCTCCACCTTGCCACTAAAATTCCAAAGGCATTTTAAATTACCTAGTGAGCATGGAAGAGATGTTAATTAAAGATGGCCTTGATTTCAATTAAACATTTGCTAGGGAATGGCTGAAGCGTATAACAACAACAGTATACAAATCAAAAAAAAAAATTATGTTTTTTCTTAGAAAATAGGTGGACTAATACAATTTGGAGGTGCTGATTCCAAATCTTGTATCAATCTTTTGCTGTCACATCAGATTTTCTCACAAAATCAATAATAAAATGTCCTGCTTTTATGTACATGATATAAACATAATATTAGATGAAACATTTAGAAACAAATTAAAAACTTTCAAATTCACACCAAAAGAACTTTATTTATTGAAATATGAATAAAAAACAGCAATACCTTAAAATTCACAGAAAGAAGCATTCTGGATTAATTTCTTTGGCTATATACATCATCAAATTTTCCTCGAAAAGTTTCAATAACATTTTTTAATAATATCCAAGTCGCTTTCTCCACATTTGACATTGAATCAAGAAAACTGTCATCTTTCATTTGTTTCCGTATCCGAGGTTCATCGAACGCCCCAGCTTTTATTTTCTCTTCCCTTAGAGAAAAGAATTGGTCAGAAATGTATTTGAAACAGTTGCTATCTCTATCCAAAGCTTTTAAAAATTGCTTCATTAGCCCCAATTTAATGTGTAATGGTAGCAACACATTTGCAGGTGTCACAAGAGATTCAGTGATAACATTTTTGCTAACTGGTGTTAAGTTAGATCTTTGGGGCCATTCCTTGTTTTTCCAATGATCAGCCTTTTCTCTGCTGTCCCACTCATATATGAAGTAAGGCATCTTTGTATATCCCGATTGTTGGTCACGATATCACCTTTAAATCTCCACAAATAATCCAGTTTATCACTATATTTTATTTTATCTAGAAGGAATTTCATATTGTCATAATTTTCCTTCATGTGGACAGAGTGGCCAAGGGGGATGGATGACAGTTGATTGCTATTATGCAGCAAAACAGCTTTTAGACTTGACTTTGAACTGTCAATGAACAATCTCCACTCTTTTGTCTGTGTCAATAGTATTCATAAGGCCAGGTATGTCAGTACAGAATACTAAAAAAACACCCATAGAGAAGAATTGAACAAATTCTTGTTCTCTGCTCCTGTACGAGGAATATGAAGTTCTTGCAGTCAGTAAATTTCTTTCACTCAGCCTGTATCCCAAGAGTTGGGCAGCATCTTTTGTTAGGTCAAGATCTCATACAAGATCATTCAGTTCTGCCTGAGTGAATAACTGTGGGTTTTTAGAACTCTTATCATCAATTTCAAAGTCACTGTGATCGCTAAGTTCTGTATCAGATTCAGAAACTTCATCAAATTCTTTGGGGCATGCAGGAATGGGAACATCATCACTGTGTGGAACAGGATGGATGGCAATGATGGATACACAATGGATGATTTATTCTTGGAGCTGAGTCCCTTGATATTACACAAACAGAAATAACAGTCTTGAGTATGATCTTTGTGCTCATGCCAAACCATAGGTATATCAAAATGTAAGAACTTCCTTTTGCCTTCAACCCATTGCCTCAAATTCTCCACACATGATCAGCATACACTATGCTGAGCCCATGACTTATCCTGATCACCAAACTTCACACCGAAATAAGAGAGATATGATTTTCTTACATATTCTGTGATATTCTGCCTTTGCTTTCTGATTGGAAATTACCACAGATATAACAAAACAAATTTTGGTAGTTCTTGCAAGAATGGGACTTAGGCATTGCTGGTGAAGTGAATATGTGAATTATTGAATGTGTGAAGTAAATCCGTAACTTTACACAATTATAGAATCTGGAACAGAAAATCAAAAAATTAATAAAAAAAAGCTATTGTTTTAGCAGGCGAGAAATGAGGCTTTATACTTCATAGAATGAGATACATTTGAACTTATGTATGCATATTGGTCCAAATAAT